TCAAAGACACACACCCCAATGAAAGAATATACCATTCCAAGCTTTTACTTGTTGTTAAACAAATGTTTAAACAATTGTATTCAAATAAACAAAACGTTTCTTTTATTGCCTTTATTATCGAATAAAAACAAATGCACAGAGACCATGTTATAAAACAAAAATCCAAAGAAATAGCTAAACCTAATGTAATAATAATAATAATAATAAAATGTGGTTCGTCGTTTCGGCTAAATGCACTTCTTCCAGGATCCGATGAAGATTGTTTGGCCGAAACGACGAACCACATATTATTATTATTATTTTTCTTTACAGCAATTTAAACCACGTGCTTGTTAATTAATAGAATTACAAAATCATTATTCCAAACAAATTCGGCAAATTGAATCAGTGAGTTTCTTTCCTTACGCGATTTTTTCAGAAATTTACCTGACATCGGAGATTTTCAGATGTATATATTTACTAGACTGGACGTTTCGTATCTGTATTTAGTACTTATGGCAAGCTACTGATAGTACCTGCTGCCGTTCGGCTAATTTGGAGCTACTGAACGGAGGGCAGACAACCAGTCAGCAACACCCTTCCACCCATCATCCATGCTAAGGGAGGTTACTGTCACTCTTATAACGCACTTAAAACACCTGTATTAGCTTTATATCTACTTACTGAGAAGCTCCGAACTCTTCTAGTTGTTCTAAGGACCCTGGAAATTGCACCTGAAGAAGTTCTGAAATGTAATAGAAGTAAGGTTCAGAGAACTTGAAAGAAATGAATAAATTAAATAATTCGTAGTTTATCCGAAATGGAGCCGAAGGCCACCTGAAGGGTCACCTATAACAACTTCCACCACTTTACAGTAGTGCGTTGTCTGTCAGCCAGTCAGTAGATACTAAAATGAGTCACATAAGGGCGCGCTTAACGTTGCAGTTTGTACTGTCGTGACGTCAGTAAAACGTGTCCAAGAATTATGTATTCTGTAGGTTAAAGCACAACGCATGAATTTCAAAAGCAAGAAATACAAATATTTGTTACTCTTAATTTTGGTTTTATTTACTCTTGAAACAGAACACCTTCGGGGACCCTGCGGAAGTACATATAATTTAGAAGTAGAAAGAGGTTATTCTGTAAGAAAAGTTACAGTATCGGGACGCTGTGTAAAACGACCCCTTGACACTAATTGTTGCACAAAGCAAAGCAGCGAAAAGAAACAGAAATTGGCCAAAGGAACAAGGCCAATTAAATGTAGAGGAAATATGGTCCCGTGATCTCTGTCTGTGTACACTTTGGGTCAAATACCATTTGATAATATTTAATCATATTTGATGTGATCCTTGCAAATAGACATATATACTTTAAATGATCCCAGTTTGAACTGTCCGAGCACCTTGGTCATGAAAAGATCCTAGTTTGATCTTTCCAAGTAATTTGGACATTTAATCATCTGAGTTTGACCTGTCCGAACCCTTACCTTAACTCTATTCTTTGTACTTGTATCATATTCTCCAACTGGTCAAATTTCTATGAGCTTTAGAAATTGTTCACGAGTTATAAGTGTATTGGAAAGTGAAACAAGTCATAGAATGTTTTTAAAACACCAAATTTAATATGATATACAGATATGCAGTGGTTTTGTTTCTTCACGTTACATCTCATATTTCAGAAGAAAAAAAAATTCATCTGTGTGTTTATATATATATATATGTATGTGTGTGTAATTATATATATATATATATATATATATATCTAAATTGGAAAATAATTGAGTGTTAAATATTGTTAACCGGTCAATATAGTATCCTTGAGATTAAAAATAAAGTCTAAAGATACCATTTACTGATGTGCTGGGGAGAAGAGCGGGAGAAGGATGACGTATCCATGACAACAAAGAATGTATGACAGTTGTTAAGTGCATCAGGCAGTCACGTCCTCTGTATCTAGTCACAAAATAACGAACTAACTTATTGCAACATATAGTAACAAATTAAATCAAAAACAGGAGAATTAGAGACTTGTTCACCAAGCTGTTTATCTTACCATTATGGTGACAAAGAACGCTTCGCAGTTTTATACTGTTCAACGTAATGCACCGAAGCTTGTTGTAGGAACAATTGAGGTTCTCGAGACTGCTTAATGGTGTCATTTGTAGGGATTCTATATCATTGTGGCTGACATCTAAATAAGTCAGATTCTGTAGATAAAAAACAAACAAATATTATTGTGTAATTTTATTCCTACGGTGTGACATCTATAGGGATTCTATATCATTGTGGCTAACATCCAAATAAGTCAGATTCTGTAGATAAAAACAAACAAATATTATTGTGTAATTTTATTCCTACGGTGGTGACATCTATATAAATTCTATATCATTGTGGCTAACATCCAAATAAGTCAGATTCTGTAGATAAAAACAAACAAATATTATTGTGTAATTTTATTCCTACGGTAGTGACATCTATAGGGATTCTATATCATTGTGGCTAACATCCAAATAAGTCAGATTCTGTAGATAAAAAAAACAAAAAAAAATTATTGTGTAATTTT